GAACCCAAACTAGGTAGAAATGCCGATTCCCAAACCCAAACTAAGTAGAAACGTCGTAACTAAAAAAAAGTGTTTGGGCCGCAACCCTAATGTACATATTATACTCTTCCATTAAATATGCTTTCTTCAAGTCCAGCAGTTGTCATCAATAATTCCTTAACCTCCAATGGTGGATTCAACCCAAATTTCTTAGCTCTTTTCCAACGATCTAATCGTTTCAGTCCAACACATGGTCCATATTTATAATTTAAATCAAATTCGTTAAGAATTTTTTCTGCAGGTGAAAGACCCTCATTATGGAAAGCTGAAATGTCGAACCAAGATTAGATAATAATTTATAATTTTACTCAATTAGTATGTGCGAACCTACTTAATTTAGCTTGCTTTACAACTTTGTCGTTTTTTTCGGAGGTTTCTATTTCTTTAGATATCAAAATATTTCGAGCTTCGTTTTCGAATTCCTCGTCAGATTCGGGTTCAGCTCTTTCTTGTGTATCTAGTTCATCCTCAGACATATCTTCATAAGAATCATTCACTGTTTCTTGCTGTTTTACACGAAGCTTTGGCTTTTTTGGTTCTTTACCAGATATGACCTCATTAGGTATGTTACTTTTATCTAAACTTTTACGCTTCTTATTTGGATACTTATGGTCTTCAGAATCTCGTTTTGAAGCAGCAAGTATATTGGTCAGCGTTTGCTGTACATATTTTTTGGGGTTTTTCTTTGGTGGAGGCATTTCTATTTCGTAACTTTTCTTAGTAAATGCAAAATTTCACGCTCTCAACAAATTGCAGAATTCAATATTTAACCAAAAATTTTGTTAGGGATAACACGAGTCATATACACATATTAGGGAAGTGCCGTTTATTACGTAATGTGTCTGCCTAGGGAAACCATAGGAGAGACTAACAAAAAATTAGGCTGGAAATCGCAGCCACCCATTAAGTGAAAATTGTTCCTGACTTATTTTTTAAAAATTTCTATTTTTGTAATGAAAAAATTAAAAAGGTAATTCCGGCCGGAAATTAGTAGACAATTATGTAATGCGGGCCAAATTTTTGAAGATCCTCGGCCGTTAGCCAATCAAAATCGGGGATCTGCCGCATTTTTTGTGCGGCACCTAGGTAGGGATGTGTTACATAAATTACAACTTTACATGTAATTTTACGTAAGTTTCTGAAACCCAAATTTCATGTAATTTTACATAAAGTACCGGATTTACAAAAAGTTTGGCCAACATTATTGCATCATTTGATTTGAATGTACAATCCGAATTGTAACACATAAATCGCCGAAATTTGATCTCAGAAACTAAATGTCGTGTGTTCAAAATTACGATTACATGAAAAATTGATTACAGAATCTTACACAAAATTACATAAAATTACGCAAAATTTCAGTAATTTTACAACCCTACACCTAGGTTCAATCTAGTTAGCAACCTATCACGCGTCAAACATTCTTTTTATGTAAAGATAATTAACCAATCAAATGCGAATAAAACTAATAGATGCACGCGAAAGAACTTATTATTAATATGTAGAAAATAGATAGATACGTGTAAAGTGGGCAAATAAGATGTTTATTACTAATAAACCCAAACTATTAAAGAATCTACTATATAAGATATAAATTAAACCTATTAAAACTTTAACTACTAATTTACGTTGACAAGCTCACTCAAACACACTACAAGAACCGACCAAATTTAAATATTAAGCCCGGATCTTCTTGTTAAAGAGCTTGTACCTATTCCAAATTAAACAGTTAGAAATAAAAGCTTATTTAAATCTAACGTAATAAAATAGTTTTAGACAAAATCATCTCTTGTTACCTTCACTTTACAGTATAGTTTGATATGGTCCAATAAACAGTAGGTATATTTTGCCTTCTAAGTAAAGTTTGTGATTATTACTGATTATTTTTGCATAGTGAATATAGACGTTCTATCGAAGCTTTTGCAGTGATTTTTTTATTAGTGAAACGTTGTGTTCTCAAAAAGTACTTTAAAGTGTATAAATAAGTTACCCGGCAATTGATTTACATCAGCCTAAGACCCCAGATTATGCAATTTGAAATGCATCATAGTGCGATGTGATAAATTCAAATTGTGCGATATTTATATAAGGAACCTTATACATATTTATATTGTTCTAACTTTGATTATCACTTTATAATGTGATAATTATAAATTTGTGTTATAAAATTTACAAAGAAAAAAATTTTAAAGAAAAAAAAAATTTTAAAAAAAATTTTAACAAAAAAAAAATACTAAAAAAAATGGTTACAAATTATCTAAATTGCCCTATTAAAATAAAGTAAGTTTAGCATTAATGTTACTTATCACTTAAAATATTTTTATAATTGCTAAAACTTCATTCTACATCAACACCAAATACAGGTAACCAGATATAAAATAATGTAATTTTTGAAAGAGAAAGTAAATTATTAGATTTTTTTTCAATATTTATTCAAGTTCAAGTTTTCATCTAATTCTTCACCAAGTTTGCAATAAATGTTCTATTCATTTAACAAATTATTACTTAAATTTTTAAATTCTTTTATCACAGTATAATGTTTAATATTTTGCCACAATGTTAAATTTAGTATCAAAGCATTGTATAGCATTAAAAAGTAATAATGTGGAATGGTTATCAACATGCTTTGTAAGCTTGTCAAATGATAATTGAAAAGCTTGTGAAAAAATTGAGTTAAAGAACATTAAATTTAGATTCTCTTCTTAAATCTTATTGTATATAAATATATTAAATGGTAGATTTTCAATACCCACTTGTAACATGGTACGGGTTTGACTAATTCGCAAAAAAAAATAGGAAGCAATAGGTTTATTGCATATTTTAAAGGATTTCAGATTCTAAATTAAGCTAATTAATATATATAGCTTATTAGCATTAGTATTTAATAATACATACAGTATATACAGTTAATACTGAATATAACAATCCTTTTTATAATGAATATACTATATAATAAACTTTTTTTTTAAATTTAATATAAGTATTAGATTACTATATAATGAACTTTTAAAAATTTTTATTATAAGACTTGTCAATTTGTTATAAACAGAGTTGACTATAGCAATAATATTATAACTGAAATATTTGGTTATAGAATAAATTAGGTTTTTGTTAGAAGAGATTCAAGATAAAGAGATGTTTTATTAAATAGTTTTAAAATATAATAGTAGATCATATCCTTTACAAAAGGTGTTTTTATATACTTTTTATAATTCTTTTGCTAATACCAACTATTCTAAATACAATTCTTAAACTGTTTACTGGCCTCAGTTATACAAAACAATTCTATGCATAATAATTTATGTATGTATAACAATTTTATATATAACGAACATATGATAAATAAATAAAAATAAATCTATACTATATATTGTATAAAAGAAAATAAACTGTAGCATGAAAGGTTTAATGTGTTATATAAACACATGACTAATGCAATGTATTACAGTATATGAAAAATATCGCTATGTTACAATATTATTACTGTATATATAATATTCTTACTATTGAGTATTTAAGAAAATAAATTCAATAATTAATTTGATTATTGGAATATTTTCATGATTTGAAAAAATTTTGGCTAATTTTTTAACTGCTTTTAAAAAATCATTAAGCATATTTTTCATATTAAAAATTGAACAAGGTATATAAAATATGGTTTAATTCAAATAACAAAATTAAACCAGCTATTTTAATGAGTTTTTACAAACAACAGAGACAATTGTAAATTAAGTTCAAAAGTTTCTAAAGATGAATCTAACAAATTAAGGTTTAAAGAAAGGAATTTTAGTCATTTTCTTTTATAAGCGAAAGAATAAAAAAAAGCATCTTTGATATTAGAAGTTACACATGTAAGAAGCTTAAAGTTGTTAAAAGTTATTTAGCAATTTCAACTAAACTTAAAATATAAGCAAAACAACAATTGTATTTAAGTTGGGATATTAAGTGAACTAATATATATGAATAGGCTTTTTTTATTTACACTACATTATTACTAATAAATAAAACAATATTAGAAAAAGGAATTTTATAAAAATTTAAAGCTAACAATATTATTTGTGAAATTGTAAAATGATTAATACTATCTAGATATTTGGTTTTAACCAATTTAGTTTGATCATGAAAGCTAAATAAAACATTAACAACACTATGTCTACAAGTATTAGTTATCTTATTAATTGTAATTGAAATAAGTTAACTAATTAAACTATTTTTTAATTTATCTACTTCACTTTGAAAAATTTGAGAAAAATAATGTTTGCATATTTAATTTGAGCTAATAATTTTATTATATATAGTATAATTAAAAATTAATATATATTTAATAATATTTCAATATGTATTATACTATATAATTATCTTTAATACAATATTTTTTTAAAAATAGTTGTAATTTATTAATTTTTTCTAGTGGGATATCAGCTTTAGTAAATGCTTTGACCAATGCTATATTAATATTTTGTTTTACTATATTACTTGAAAATACTTTTATAATACTCTTCTTATTTTTATATTAAAATAATTATCGATTACAGATTTTCTGGCATAATTAACAATTGGTTTGCAAATGATACAAAATATTTTATTATTTGATTCATAAAAATCATCTTTATAGTCATTTGAGTTTATATATTCTAAGGCTATAAATCTAGTTTTTCTCATTATTAAAAATTATAAAAAAAAAATTATAACATTCTAAATACTTAAATATTGATATCTTAACAATTACTAACGTTCAAAGAGGTGTGGCAGCTTAGTGAAGTGGTCTAGTTATCACCCTCTTCAAATAGCAGGTCTAGAATTCAAATCCCATGGACAACGATTTTAAAAAATAGATTTGTGTTATAGTAACCTATATAAGATGATTGGATTAGAGTATCTGTAACTTGAGTCACACCAGAGCATATTCCTGAAAGATCTGCTAGCATTCATACAACTGAGAAAACTCAGAAACCACAAATGAATACAAACCGGCTTAGGGCAGTACAAACTCTCGATAAGTTCAAGATTGTATAAATTTTAGAAATCTCTTTCGCATATAGAAATCTGCTTGAGAAGTCACAAATTAGGATTAGTGACTAACTTTTGACAGTATTACAGAGTAAAGACTATATTGGAAACTCAACTAGAGGCCTGAAGATCATGACTCTTATAGGCAGAGTTATACCAACCTGGCCGTTGGAGGATGAGGTGACTCCGCAGGCTAACTGGATTGAAAAAAAGAATGTCTCTGGAGCCGAACTCATGTGTTAAAAAATGTTGGTACTGAGGTTGGTTATGAACTTAATAAGAGCAGAAGTAAAGTAATAAAGGACTAATTAGAAAGGTTGTACTTGAGATACAGATTGTGTTACAGCAGCATCCCAAAAGATAGCTTGAGATACGAATACAATAATAGCAGACAATATGTACTAATTGGGAAGTAATTACCAAACAAGCATGCACTATCATGTATAGAACATGTAATACGATATCAGGTTTATCTCGAGAATGATCAAGATAGTTCTAAGATAGGTTGTAATATATATATAGTTAAAATTGTTGTAAATACTACTAACCCCAATTTAACTATAATAAAATTTACCGACCAAAGAAGTTATTTTAAAATAAAAAAATAAAAATAAAAATAAAAAATTACTAATGTTTAAAATTTTTATTTAATAATTTAATTTGATATAACTGAATTACAACAAAGACA